GAAGCAATAGAGTACCAGCGTCGATGTGACTGTCCGGCCATTTGTGGGCGGGCGGGTGCGGTGGGCATTTGCGTCGGCATGGCCAAATGCTTACCGCACAGGCGCTAACGGTTCCTTTGGTTGAAAAAATCCGCCACATGGCGCCTACTATGAGGCGCTCCTTCGTGCTAGGCCAACTGACCCTGTACGCCTCGCTGATTCATCATGCCGCTTGCCTTTGGAGATTCGACTGAATTGCGTTTCACTCTAACTTATCCTGCGAGAAAAGCCTGTGCCCATCAAACGAGGGCCCTGTATGTGTACATATATTTTAAAGAGGAACATCACACCCTGCAGAGCATATATTTATATTTATTAACTTATTATAACTTATACACAGACACAGCTAGGAACAACAGATGTTTCCCGAACGACATGAATACCCGGATGCACACTGGCCGTTGTAACACGAGCCATATGGAGCTTCTCCTAAAACATTTAAATCTTTGAGCAAGATTTTCAATTTTTTGGCATTTTTAATAAACTCTATTATATCTTCCTCTTTCGGTACTCAGTACACCGGTTTAGCAGGGTTACGTGACTTCTTCAATTTTCGGGCATGCTGTTGTTGCAAGACCCTGTATGCAGGCAGCGGATACGAAAGAACTGAAAGGCGAAGAAGAACTGAAATGCCTCTGGCGAAAAAGGGTTAGCGCTTCTCTTTAAGGGGAGGGGTTTCCGAGCTGGGTCGGTTGCAGTCAGTAATCGTATAGTCGCATCAGTACTTGAAATATGCACGGGCATCCATACCTCGGGTGGGCGGGGTTTCTAGCCATTGCGGGCCCTTATCGTCCTTGCCACGCGGCTGTAGGCCCGTGCTCATGATATGTACATGTGTATACATAGACAGGATTCAGGGACTCGGGCAGTGACTACATAATTCTCTGTTATCGCTTCAGTTCCTGCGATTTCATGGAATTTCAAGTGTGCTAAGTAATGGCGAAATTGAAATTGAAACTGTCGCCGAATGGCCGTGCAGGATGGGCAAACTTCCGCACATATTCCGACAAGTGTTAAAGTACTGTCAAAGGTGTTCGCAAGAACTTCTAGAGATACCTGATTCTGTGCATCTCCCTTCGCATCCCATACCAATCAACTGACCTGGAAACGATTCACAGCCAGGCGGACTTCATCCTCGAGAGAAAGTGGTGGTGGCGCCTATTACCACCGCTGTACGTTCGTATTCTCCTTGATGAAGCGACTAGTTGGGCAGGTAGGAGAGTCTGCTTATATACAACCAGAAGGTTCACAACCAGAAGGTTCATCCACGGAGCAGACAAAGTAGTGAGAGGAAGTAGCAGAGTTGGAGGATGTTAACTGCATAGCTGTATTATAGTCCCTTCTTTTGCAAACACTTGTGACCATGAGCACCGAGCAAATAGAAATGTAACTTCAAAATGTTGAAAAATTTGAGGGCGGCTCTCACGATAACCCGCTGCCAGATGTCTTCTGATTCGTCTTCTAAACAAACTTGACTGTCATTGTCATTGTGACACTCTCGGGATTTCATGAAGACAATGCACTTATCTCGGGGCCAGTCGTTTTCGTGCGCGAGGTGAAAGGGGGGCTGCATCAAGCGCACCACTC